TGGTGCTCTTATCCGGCTACTTCTACAGGTACGTTTTTTTCAAAGCAAGAAAAGCCAAGACTACAGGTTCTTTAAAAAGCCAGACCAAGTGAATAGCAGGAAGATCAGCAGAGGGAAGTGAACCACGAATGCTCTCCCTTGGGCAATTCCTGTATTTAAACCATGGGTAGGCAAACTAAGGCCCGGGGGCTGGATCCGGCCCAATCGCCTTCTAAATCCGATCCGCCGACAGTCCAGGAATCAGCATGTTTTTACACGAGTAGAATGTGTCTTTTATTTCAAATGCATCTCTGGGTTATTTGTGGGGCATAAGAATTTGTTCATTATAGTGATACCTCGGGTTAAGTACTTAATTCGTTCCGGAGGTCCGTTCTTAACCTGAAACTGTTCTTAACCTAAAAGCACCACTTTAGCTAATGGGGCCTCCTGCTGCCGCCACGCTGCTACTGCACAATTTCTGTTCTCATCCTGAAGCAAAGTTCTTAACCCAAGGTACTGTTTCTGGGTTGGCGGAGTCTGTAACCTGAAGCGTATGTAACCTGAAGCGTATGTAACCCGAGGCACCACTGTATTCCCCCCCCCAAATATAGTCAGACCCCACCCCCAAAGGTCTGAGGGACAGTGGACTGGCTCCCTGCTGAAAAACTTTACTGACTCCTGAAAACCCGCCTAAAAAGAGAAAACTGACATTTACACACATCAATTGGTTCCCTAGCCTGCGTTTGCTAGCAAGCAATTCCAAAGACAGTGGAATTCCAAGGGAGGGAAACTGCACAGGCTGCCCTTACCACAGAGTAATGCGAGTCACCTCTCCATTTAGGTTGCCGAACTACCATTTGTATTTGTTGGGAAGAACGTGGCAAGAATACGGAGATGCAGGTTCTGTCAGGAGCTAAAGGCTTGGGGACATCCTTTAGTCTCCTGCAGATGTGCGAGACATACTGAGCAGTAGGTGCCAACAACTCAGAAACTGGATGCGAGATGGGGACAGCTAAGTGGAAAATTCCCAAGATTCTGCAGAGTCACCCCGTAAAGTGCCTGCTAAAAGGTAAAGGTCAAGGGACCCCTGCCCATTAGGTCCAGTCGTGGCCGGCTCTGGGGTTGCGGCGCTCATCTCGCTTTATTGGCTGAGGTAGCCGGCGTACAGCTTCCGGGTCATGTGGCCAGCATGACTAAGCCGCTTCTGGCAAACCAGAGCAGCGCACGGAAACGCCGTTTACCTTCCCGCTTGAGCGGTACCTATTTATCTACTTGCACTGGAGTGCTTTCGAACTGCTAGGTGGGCAGGAGCAGGGACTGAGCAAAGGGAGCTCACCCCGTCGCGGGGATTTGAACCACCGACCTTCTGATCGGCTCCTAGGCTCAGTGGTTTAACCCACAGCACCACCCGCGTCCCTTAAGGGAAGTAACAGACCCACTCTATTTTGCCTCGGTCAGACCACACCTGGAATACTGTGTCCAATTCTGGGCACCACAATTTAAGAAGGATGTTGACAAGCTGGATGATCAGGGGTCTGGAAAGCAAGCCTAACGAGGAACAGTTGAGGGAGTTGGGGATATTTAGCCTGGAAAAGGGGAGACTGAGAGGAGCTATGAAAGCTATTGTGATAGGAATTTTATGGTCTTAGATATATGGTAATGTTCATAACTGCACATACATAGATCAACACAGGAAGACCAACCTGGAACCATTTTGATTCCTAAACTGACCAAATGTTTTCTCTGCAAGGTCAAACTGGAAAAGTCTCCCCATTGTCTCTTTCCTCACAAATCCTGTCTTAAGGACACATTTAAGATATGAATAAGGTGTGAGCCTGTGACCTGGCCCAGGAAATAAGTATTTTACCACTACAAAAGAATGGCCAGGCTCCCCGGGAAATCCAATCAAGTAACTTGCCAGACAGGAGATAAACTGTGACAGGAGAAAAACAACATTTAAATTTCTGTGATGTAGGTGGGATGTATCTGAAGGGTGGTCTTAGGTTACACCCCTTCTGTGATGTATGTGTAATGTTTCTGGGGTGGTCTTGATCTAGAGGATGGGAATTTCAAAACTCTTTATAAGCCCTTGCACAGCATTTTTGTGGGTCCTCCTCCTTTCCTGCGAGTGAGGGAAGCACCCTGTTGCAACAGATCAATAAAGATCAAGCTTACTAGCTGCTTTGCTTCTCAATATTCTCTGGTTGGCCTCTGTTATTCTCTCCTACCAATAGGGAACCTATGTAAGGACTCTATATGGGCTCTTGGATACCCCATAAGGGAAAAGGGCATATTTTATTTACAACACTATCTTCAAATATTCAAAGGGCTGCCACATGGAGGATGGAGCTTGTTTTCTCCTGCTTCAGAGAGCAGGACTCGAATCAATGGCCTCAAGTTACAAGAATGGAGATTCTGACTCAACATCAGGAAGAACTTTCTGACAGTAAGAGCTGTTTGACAGTGGAACGGACCCCCTTGGGAGGTGGTGGAAAATCCTTCCTTGGAGGTTTTTAAGCAGAGGTTGGGTGGCCACCTGTCATGGACGCTTTAGCCGAGATTCCTGCATTGCAGAGGGTTGGACTAGATGTTCCCGGGGTCCCTTCTCCACAATTCTATGATTCTATCTACCTGAGCGGTTAGTTCCGAGTGCTACTAAAAGTCTGGCATGTGTACACATTTCCGTTCGACAAATGCAGCGCTGGGTTTGTTAACAGGCAGATGTGCGGCCAGCTTTCCTGTAGCTGCACAAACTCAGCTCCACCCTAGGTGGGCTTTTCTCCCAAGTGGCGAGACTTGAGTTGGCTGAGGACGCAAGCCCAGGCCCGCCCTAGAGAACGCTGTGTGTTAAGTGGGCTGACAGTACTTGAAAAGCGAATTAGGGAAGAAGCAAAGCACACTGAAAATAGAATGCAGATACACTATGCAAAGGTCTATTTTAAGTAATGAAAACAGCCACGGCCTGCTGACTCAAACCAGGATGTTAGGCTGGGAGAGGAGGCCGCCTGTCTTGTCCAAGCATCTTGAAGAGACGCATGACGTCTCCACACCGCTTCTCCCTCAAGCGTCTCCTGTTCCCTAGATGGAAGAGTCCTCATAAGCACCTCTGTGGGTTGACATATAAACCTGCCCTTAAGTGGAAATGCACAGTCACTGCTGAGTTAGCACCTCCCTTTTCAAAACTCCAGGAAAAGCATGTCGAGACTTTGCCGCAATTCACTGCTGCCTCCCAACTTCATGTTTTAAAACTGAAGTTTAGCAACAAAACCCGCTGCTTGGAAACTGTAAACGTGGGTTTGTCCCATACTCAAAGTTGCATCTGCTAAGAAAACAATGAAAGCAAGTCCCAGTGCTCTGTCATGCTCTAATGCAGGCACCCCCAACCTTTGGCCCTCCAGATGTTTTGGACTACAATTCCCATCATCCCTGACCACTGGTCCTGTTAGCTAGGGATCATGGGAGTTGTAGGACGAAACATCTGGAGGGCTGCAGGTTGGGGATGCCTGCTCTAATGGGACCGAGCAAGACACAGAACCCAGGGTGAGAATTCGTAGATGCTCAGGTGCTGTGTCACTGTGGACCGAGAGAAGAGTTAGACTGTGCCCCACTTGTGTCCTTAGATGAACTCCTTTACTTTCAATACGGGGAGGAGGGGTGAGCCTTCTCACTGACTGATCACCCCTGGCTTCCAATCTGTTGTGCCCTCCTGTCCTGTAGGTGGCACCCACATATCATCATATTGCCTTCTCCCACTCAAGTAGGCAAGAGCTGATGACTCATACAGCAGGTCTGGCAGTGGGGGGCACCAAGGAGGGTGGAGGAAAGCTCTCTCCCAAGTGATGGGGTGTGGGGAGAAACAACCACACTGTGCCCTGCCCTGAATTCTATGGGCTCTTATTTTGGTCACATGGAGGAGAATTTTGCAGGAAGAATAAACACCGTTTGGGGAGAGCAAGACAAACACCATATACTTTTAACACCTGTATCATTTACTGCAAGGAAGCAACCCCATCCTCAGCGAGCATAGAGCCACTGAGCTTTCAACTTTGGCAATACTTAAGAGAGCTTGGTTGGGATCTGGGTGGCGCTGTGGGTTAAACCACAGAGCCTAGGACTTGCCGATCAGAAGGTCGGCGGTTCGAATCCCCGCGACGGGGTGAGCTCCCTTTGCTCGGTCCCAGCTCTTGCCAACCTAGCAGTTCGAAAGCACGTCAAAGTGCTAGTAGATAAATAGGTACCACACTGGTGGGAAGGTAAACGGCGTTTCCGTGTGCTGCTCTGGTTCGCCAGAAGCGGCTTAGTCATACTGGCCACATGACCCGGAAGCTGTACGCCGGCTCCCTCGGCCAATAAAGTGAGATGAGCGCTGCAACCCCAGAGTTGTCCACGACTGGACCTAATGGTCAGGGGTCCCTTTACCTTTAAGAGAGCCTGGTTAGTCAGGGAGACAATATCTCCTGCATCCATTTGGAGAAAAATGCATGGTTCCTAGAAATACAAGCTTCTAGTTCTCAGGCCTACAGAAGCGCTTTCCCCTCTCACTGGACGATGCCATGTTCACTGCAGAAAGCCAGCTGTGCGGACTGCACATGGACTGATTGTCCTGCTCAGACGCATGGACCAGTCAACACACCTGCACCATTCTGATGGTGTGTGTGTGTGTTTTGCGGGGACTAGTAGTGCTAAATACCACTTCCAATTTCTTAGTCTGGAGCTTCCTGGTGCTGCTCAAATGCAGAGGCAGGGGTGAGTAGAAAGAGTGCAGAGAGATCAAAAAGCAGGGCACATCAGCTACATATATGAAGCTTGTAGTCTAGAGACCTGAGGTTCGGTCTCTCAGCTCCTGGGTGGGTGGGTCCAAGCTCTGGACCACCTGACCATTGTTCAGACATTGTCATCTCACCTCTTTACTTAAACAACAGCAGCAACCTTGCCAGAGTGTTATCGATAATTTGGAAAGGACTGTGCAATTCCTAGGAGTTAAACAAGCAGGAAAAATGGTAAACATTTGAATCCGTTACCTATAGATGGGGATTTGAAGGGGTATTTGTCAGGAAGGTCCACTCTAACTTTCCACACGCCACCTTCGTACGGTGCTGCAATCAGGGAAGGAAAACGGTGTTAGCCGCAGAAACACAAACTGAACAAACATCTTCAGGCATGGTTTGCATTCTTAACCATAAAGGGACATAAAGGACTGAATGATAACCCATTTGCTTCCAATGGGGCTTTTGTAGAAGACCTTCCCAATGGAATTGTGCCTTCAGCTTTTTGGACTACCCTATATTTAATGGCCACACACACACAAATACTTGGCTTTTCCAAGGGGCCTGGGTAAAAACCTTGTGGTTTTTATGGAAGCCGCCCAGAGTGGCTGGGGAGGCCCAGCCAGATGGGCGGGGTATAAATAATAAATTATTATTATTATTATTATTATTATTATTATTATTATCCAGAGCCTTGTGAATTTCCGTATTTACACAGGGTCCTCCCAAAACTCACCATCAAATGAAAGCTTACAGTGATGGACTACACAACAAAGATCAGTTCTGGCGCTTGCTAACGTCATAAAAATATTGATCCACAGCATGGATCCTCATGAATCGTCATGATTTTGACAAAGGATTGTGAAAGCCAAACTACCAGATCACAGAACACAACCGTGTATGCAGAGGTGACCTACGATTTGATGGTGCTTTTGAGGGGACCATGATTCCCCAGATCCATGATTCTTACGGTTTGGTCACTGAAGCTAGAGGTGACCTGTGATTTGATGGGAGGTGGGGAAAATAGTATGCCACTTTAAGAGGATGCATTCTACTTGGTCCAAAGTGCGTGCAGGTGCCCCATCTCTCTTTCATCCAATTTTCTCTCCCTTCCTCAACTGTTTCCTTTTCCTTTTCCACCTTAAGTCCCAGTTTCCTTTCCTTCCCCGCCATCTTCTTGGTCACTCTGCCTTCCACCCAACAGCTCAAGTGCTGACCTGAGCTTTGAAAAGTGGGGAAAAGGTATAACTTGGACTACTACTACTACTAAGGTATAGCTTGGACTACTGCAATGCGCTCTACGTGGGGCTACCTTTGAAGGTGACCCGGAAACTGCAATTAATCCAGAATGCGGCAGCTAGACTGGTGACTGGGAGTGGCCGCCGGGACCACATAACACCGGTTCTGAGAGATCTGCATTGGCTCCCAGTACGTTTCCGAGCACAATTCAAAGTGTTGGTGCTGACCTTTAAAGCCCTAAACGGCCTCGGTCCTGTATACCTGAAGGAGCGTCTCCACTCCCATCGTTCAGCCTGGACACTGAGGTCCAGCACCGAGGGCCTTCTGGCGGTTCCCTCATTGCGAGAAGTGAGGTTACAGGGAACCAGACAGAGGGCCTTCTCGGTAGTGGCGCCCACCCTGTGGAACACCCTCCCTTCAGATGTGAAGGAAATAAGTAGCTATCCTATCTTTAAAAGATATCTGAAGGCAGCCCTGTTCAGGGAATTTTTTAATATTTAACGCTGTATTGTTTTTAATACTTGATTGGGAGCCGCCCAGAGTGGCTGGGGAAACTCAGCCAGGTGGGTAGGGTATAAATAAATAAATAAATTATTATTATTATTACTCTTTCAGCTTCCTCTTCCAGTTCTGTGTACTTTTCCAAGGTGGTTGGGGAGTAAATCACCCTTGCCACCTCATGGTGACCAGGGCAGTGAGCAGGAGGCATGGGAACCTGGAGGCTTTTGTAGGTGCCAGGCAAACACTCGCAGGTGTCAAAGTCTTAGCCCCAGCCTCACAGTAAGACAGGACACGTTTCATGAGAGGCACAGGGGATGGTACAGTGGTGCCTCACAAGACAAAAAACTCGCAAGACGAAAGGGTTTTTTGTTTTTTGAGCTGCTTCACAAGACGATTTTCCCTATGGGCTTGCTTTGCAAGACGGAAACATCTTGCAAGTTAGTCTCCTTTTTCTTAACACCGTTAATACAGTTGCGACTTGACTTCGAGGAGCAACTCATAGAACGCGGTGTGGTAGCCTTTTTTGAGGTTTTTAAAGACTTTGGTGATTTTTGAAGCTTTTCCAAAACTTTCCCGACACCGTGCTTCGCAAGACGAAAAAAATCGCAAGACGACAAAACTCGCGGAACGAATTAATTTCGTCTTGCGAGGCACCACTGTATTTTTGTAAAAAAGAAACGGGAAAAACCAAAAACCCACCCAAACCCCTTCTTTTCTTCTCAGTGGTATGCTTTCCTGGCAAATCAACAAATTATGTAGTAAGTGCTTAAAAAAAACCAACAGCTTAAGTATCACAAATGGTGGGGAATATTTGCATACTTACTTCCTTGTGGTCCATAGAACTTCACTACAAATTCGTTGAGTCCTCCTAGGATGGTGACTTCATGTTTACTTTCAATACTAAATGCACGCAAGTCAAGGAAACGTCTGTCACGTGCGCGAGGCTTATCAAACCTGCCTCTTGAGAACCCTGGCACCCCGGGAACAGCGGATTGTTAGAATTCCTTTACTGGCAAATCTGAAATAATCCTCTCATAAATGAAGCCCGTTCAAAATACGTCTGAGGCTGTTTGCCGTGGTTTAAGCAGAATCAAAGTACCTGGCCAGACAACACAGGTGAAACACAGTTCAGGATATAAAGGCTTGAAACCTGTAAATGACTTCAGGTTACAGATTCTAGTGTTGGCTTCATTTCTGTATTGAGAGCTTTAAGATCAGAGGATTCTGCTGGATCAAGCCAGTAGCCCGTCTGGTCCAGAATCCTGTCCTCACAGTAGCCAACCAGACGCCTGGGGGTAACTCACAAGTTGGACTCCGGGCACAAGAGAAGCTCTCCCCTCCTGTGATTTCCAACAACTGGTCTTCAGAAGATCTGCTGCTTCCAATCGTGGAGGCCGAGCAAAGCCATCACGGCTAGCAGCCCTCGTTAGCCCTCTCCATGAATTTGTCAAATCCTCTTTTAAAACCACCCCAAGTGGCTGGCCATCACTGTCTCCCGCATGAGCAAATCCCAGAGTTTTAACTATCCGCTGTGTGAACCAGCACTTTATTTTTTATATGTCCTGAATCTTCCAACATTCAACTTCTCTGGGTACCTACGAGTTCCCAGTGCTACGAAAGGGCGGGGGAGAAGCTTTTCTCTACAGTGGTACCTCAGGTTACAGACGCTTCAGGTTACAGACTCCGCTAACCCAGAAATAGTACCTTGGGTTAAGAACTTTGCTTCAGGATGAGAACAGAAATCACGCAGCGGCAGCGTGGCAGCAGCAGCAGCAGGAGGCCCCATTAGCTAAAGTGGTGCTTCAGGTTAAGAACAGTTTCAGGTTAAGAACGGACCTCCAGAACGAATTAAGTTATTAACCCAAGGTACCACTGTATTCAGGACGCGGGTGGCGGTGTGGGTTAAACCACAGAGCCTAAGGCTTGCCGATCAGAAGGTCGCGGTTCGAATCCCCGCGACAGGGTGAGCTCCCATTGCTCGGTCCCAGCTCCTGCCAACCTAGCAGTTCGAAAGCATGTCAAAGTGCAAGTAGATAAATAGGTACCACTCCGGCGGGAAGGTAAACAGCGTTTCCGTGCGCTGCTCTGGTTCGCCAGAAGCGGCTTAGTCCTGCTGGCCACATGACCGGGAAGCTGTACTCCGGCTCCCTCAGCCAGTAAACGAGATGAGCGCCTCAACCCCAGAGTCAGTCACGACTGGACCTAATGGTCAGGGGTCCCTTCACCTTTACCTTTTTACCACTGTATCCACTTTCTCCATGCCGTGCATAATTTTACAATATTCTATCATGTCACCTCTTACTCGACTTTTCTCTAAACTAAGGAGTCCCCTATGCTGCAAGATTTCTTCACAGAGGAGTCATTTGGTTGTCTCTTTTCCGAACCTTTTTCAAGAAGCTGACCAGAACTGCGCACAGTATTTCAAATGGGATTTGTATTCCAAAAGATCTGTGTAATGGCATTACGGTATCTGTAGGTTTATTTTAATTTCCTTCCTAATGATCCCCAGTATGGAATTTCCCCTTTTGACAGCTGCTGAACACTGGGCCGACAACTTCATCAAACTCTCCACTATGATCTCTGGTCAATCACCACCAGTGAAATAAAGATTTATTTATTTATTGCCCCAGCATGCATCACCTTACTCCTGTTCACAATGAATTATATTTGCCATTTTACTGCCCATTCATTCGTGGGAAAGGCGGGTGGAATTTGAAGGAAGAGACCACACTCTTACTGTGCAGGTATATCTGAGCTTTCTGTGGAAAGGCAATAAAAGGAAATGCTTTAAATGCAAATACTAGAAGTCACCTTTGGCAACACACTGTTTAGCCAAGAAATTCTGAACACCCAAAACACGCCATACAACTTTCAGTCCTCTGAAAGAAAACTATCCAGTCATCCTTTGCATCTGATCCTTGTACACATTACTTTAAATTGTGTGGTTTTTTAATATTGTGCTTTAATGGTTAGAATGATAATAGTAATAAAATGCCCACTGCCCTGAGTCTTGAGAAACAACTGGCTACAGCATAAGCAAGCCTTAAAACAAATAAAGCTGGCACCCACAACAATTCTCACCAGCCTGCCTGCCCATACCTAAGTTATTAACTGATATTCGTAAAAAGGGGAGGAGAGGAAGATAATCAAATGTTGCACAGCTTTTCTGTGTGATCTCTTACTCGCTGCAGGAGCTCGAAATAAAACCACAAGCTGCTTCTGGGCCAGGTTGGGGTGAGCGACTTCAGTTCTGCCCCAACTCCTTCTAAAAGGTGTCCCATTTGCCAGAAAGGGAACTGGATGTGCAACTTTCAAGAACAAAGTTGTCTATCCTGGCTCCCCGCTCCCCCTTTGCATTTAGTCCGCTTAAGAAAGCAGTACTCAAATCTGGAGAAAGTGGAAATTCAGACACAAATCAAATGTCTCAACAGAAACCAACAGACTGATCAGAGTGCAGATTTACTCCAATCTCAGAGCTTTAGAGAATAATAATAATAATAATTTATCTATATGCTGCCCATCTGACTAGGTTGCCTCAGCCTCTCAGGGGAAAAGTGCTCGTACGAGGCAGCCTTGGTGCAAACACCTCTGTGGTGTTGCTCGACTCTCCCACCCAAACCTGTTCTAGCTCTCCACACCACCTCTGCCAAACATTATTCCGAGAAATGTGTCTGCACAACGTAACGCAGCCAGGATTCTGATGCCGTCGGAAGGATGCAGAAAAGCCTGTGCAAATATTTGCCGGCAGGAGAAGATCTACGTACGGCTCTTGGAAGAGAAACAAAGAAGAGACTCCAGATGAATTCTGACTAGATTGTAAGCCACCGTCTCTTGACCTTGGGAAAAGTTTCGCTCTGCTGTGGACGAGGGGGAAGAGATACCAGGCCCCGCACAACTGCAAGCCGGATGTCATAACTATGGCTCAAAGCATGCTTGTGCGAGTAGAAGCTAAACTTATGCATGGATGCGTGTGTTCATGCATGCATGTGTGAAAGTCTGATATTCCCCTATTGCAGCTGCAGTCCTTTGTGCCACACCGAATGTTGTTCCAATAAACTCTTTTTTTCTTTTTCTTTTTGAGATGAGGGTTAGATGAGACTGCCAGTGAGAAGGAAAGCACTAACCCCCCCCCCCCGCCCTCAATGAGAAGCATTTTACACTTTTGATCAAAGTCCGTATTTACAATGCGCTGTAGGAACATAAACACCCAAGAACATTACCCCTTGCAAAATATACAGTCATACCTCATGTTACGTTTGCTTCATGTTACGTTCTTTCAGGTTATGTCCTGCAGTGACCCGGAAGTACCGGAAAGGGTTACTTTCAGGTTTCGCCGCTTGCGCATATGCAGAAGCGCAAAATGACGTCACATGCATGTGCAGAAGCAGCGAATCGCAACCCGCGCATGCGCAGATGCGCCGCTGCGGGTTGGGCCTCTGGAACGGATCCAGTTCGCAACCAGAGGTACAGTGGTACCTCAGGTTAAGCACTTAATTCGTTCCGGAGGTCCGTTCTTAACCTGAAACTGTTCTTAACCTGAAGCACCACTTTAGCTAATGGGGCCTCCTGCTGCCGCCGCGCCGCCGGAGCACGATTTCTGTTCTCATCCTGAAGCAAAGTTCTTAACCTGAAGCACTATTTCTGGGTTAGCGGAATCTGTAACCTGAAGTGTATGTAACCTGAAGCATAGGTAACCCAAGGTACCACTGTATTACATTTCTATCATTGCCAGAGTCACCATACAAACAACAGTCCTTTCCTTTTATTCTGACCCAGGTCAGCCAACTGGGGTATGTTACAGCACTGCTTTGCCTTTGGAGGGCATGTTTTCCAGTTCAGAGCTCATCTGATTGCACTAACGATAGCTATTGACTGATTATTTAATTTCTATACCGCATGATATATTAAAAATATCTCTAAGCAGTGTACAAAAAAACAAAGCGACAACAGAAAAGACTTAAGTATTACAAAAATAAACAGTCACATATAACATTTTTACATTAATAAAAGGTAAAGGTACCCCTGCCCGTACGGGCCAGTCATGACCGACTCTGGGGTTGCGCGCCCATCTCACTTAAGAGGCCGGGGGCCAGCGCTGTCCGGAGACACTTCCGGGTCACGTGGCCAGCGTGACAAAGCTGCTCTGGCGAGCCAGCACCAGCGCAGCACACAGAAACGCCATTTACCTTCCCGCTATAAAGCGGTACCTATTTATCTACTTGCACTTAGGGTGCTTTCGAACTGCTAGGTTGGCAGGAGCTGGGACCGAAAGACGGGAGCTCACCCCGCCGCGGGGATTCAAACCGTCGACCATGCGATCGGCAAGTCCTAGGCCCTGAGGCTTTTACCCACAGCGCCACCCGCGTCCCTAATATCAACTTACTAATGTATATAAATGAGTATCAATTAATTTTCCTTCTGACACAGCCTCTCTCTCCGCCTCCAGGTTCTCACCCAAGGTCCAAACAAGCTCACCCACAGAAGTCTCACAACGAGAAGAGCTTGTGGAAACAGCAGCCATCACCCTAGTCTCTCACTCTAGACTTGCTTTATAATCGAGGGCCTTCTGACGGTTCCCTCGCTGCGAGAAGCCAAGTTACAGGGAACCAGGCAGAGGGCCTTCTTGGTGGTGGCGCCCACCCTGTGGAACGCCCTCCCCCAGATGTCAAAGAAAAAAATAGCTACCAAACTTTTAGAAGACATCTAAAGGCAGCCCTGTTTAGGGAAGCTTTTAATGTTTAACAGGTTACTGTATTTTAGTGTTTTGTTGGAAGCCGCCCAGAGTGGCTGGGGGGACCCAGCCAGAGGGGCGGGGTATAAATAATAAATGATGATGATGATGATGATGAGCAGACCCAAGGTGGATGACAATTCCTCAGGCTCCCTTCAGCTGTGTCTCA